GTTTTACTGAAAGACTTAATATACCCAAATAATGGGATCACAGAGAATTTTCACAAGAATTTGCATTTCTGTGACTGTCTCCATAATTTGGCCATATGCTGTAAAAATATTAAATATTATCTGTATTTACCATTCAGGTATGTTGGACATGAGCTGGACTTGCTTTTTTCGCTGTGAAGATGAATATTTAAGTACCATATGAGCATTCCTGATCTATGAAGCCCGTTAAAACACTGATGGGCTAAATCCTGCCCTCTAGTGTACCTGCGGACAGCTGTGCCCTGAGAATCTTCCACTCCTCCACCAGTCTTATCCGCACGAAGCAGAAAGCAGGTGGGAGATGGGACAATTCACATCTCTCATTTGCCTCCCTTCACCTTCAGAGAGCCCCCACTGCTCAGCCACACACCTCTGTGGCAGGTAAGATGCACTAAAATCAGAGTATGAGGATTAGCATGCATGATAACAGAACAGAGAATACCCACCCCTTAGCAGCACGCTTGTCCCAGTGTGCCCAGCTAACATAGGCAGTCTGCCTCTCAATTACTTTACCTTATGGGACCCTGCAGGAAACACAACAGTATTTCTATGACAAAGTAAGCCAAAGACAGACATGAAACACATTCTCAGCTTTTTGTTTGTTTGTTTGTTTTCCTCCTTCATGAGAGCTATGGTACCCCATTCCTAAAAACCAGCTACATCCAGGAAGAATTTCTGTATGGATCACATTGCAAAGAATCAGTATTTGACAACAGTCGAGGTCTGTGCAGTAGATCAAAGGTAATGCCAAATGAGTCCGTTACCAGAAAGACTTCAGTAGAAACAAAAAATTCTGACATTTTGTGCCAGATTTCCAATAAATAAATAGATAATTAAATAATCAATCTCTCATTTATTGTTAGGATTTGGAATAGGATGCCCTGTTAACAGTTCTGGCCACATCAATGGGAAACTAAAATGGGAGACGAGACGATCTGAGTCCTAAATAACTTGCACACCTAGTTACGCAAAACTAAGCATTGGGTGTGGAACGTTACACTGAAACACTTCTTGACATTCACCAAAATCTCTGTTTCTGACAATGACAGCTAGCTTTCTTTCATTACCATGATTTTGCAAAGTTTTATCTTCTTGACAAAGCTGGCAAGCCCTAAAGTCAGCACATACTTGAACATATTCTTTCAAAAACTTTTAGAGCGTAATCATTTAGATATTGCACATGATACAAATAAAACTCAGAAGTACTTATGAAAGGAACTTTCTTAAGAAGAAATTTTCCTGGACCAATATTACCCTACTTTACATTTCCCTGAGATATTTCTTGAAAGGCAGCCAGTTACTGAGCAAAAATAAGGTATTTCAGACATCTGCAGGGTTGATGGAGCTCACACTATTGACTCCCTTCCGAGTGACAGACTGGAGTCTCATCACTTTGTTAACAAGTGGACAAAAGTGACAAAAGTGGCTCTGGATTCCTCAGATGCCTTGTTTTATGCCCATCATGAAATAGAGCAGCTTGAAAAGTTATGGAAATATACAAATGCCAACCATTCCTCAGTGAGGGAAACTGAAGGGAAAACAGCTGTGCTGTTAGACGTTTTCTAAAACGTATGGATACACGTTCCTTTTCCATTCCCCTTGCTTTTCCCTTTCACCAGCACTGTAGTCTCTTTGAGACAAAAAACTCCGGAGAGTTTCTGGAAGCCCTTCCAAAAAGACTGGGATTTTTGTACTTTTCCGCAACATAAACCAAAAGTTGTTGATCAACAACAAGACGTGGTTTTTTGTTTTGCTTTAAGAAACAAAACTCTAAGAAAGCCTCTTCTGTTTTTTGTTTGTCTGAAATGCACCTCTTGCAGGGGGGGGGGGGGGAAATAAAACAAAAGCTCAACAGCAATCCCTAGGGTATGTCCAAAGGGGTACTTTGCTGATGTCAATGCATACACACATCAGATGTGGCAATATCAGCAATCTCAGATGTATTGTCCAGCTTTTTCGCTATGTGAATCATAAGAGTCCACTCCTCCAGCACACAGGGCATGAACTTCCATTCCTTCATTCCACTGACGACACAATTATGAATAAACCAACATGAATGGGATGAGTGTGAAACAATCAAAACTCCTGACATCAAGACATAAACCAGACCATATACTTCTAACAAGCTGTCATTAGTGCTTAAGGCAGAACAGAGGAGGCAAAAGGACATGAATAATGGAAATTTGTTTATAGCTTAAGTATTAGACTTTGGTCTGAAACATACAGAGAGAGCCATTCACCTTCTAAAATACAAAACTTCCTTCAAAAGTGAAAATGAGAATGTAATAACCAAATGCTATTCTGTATAATTAGAATCATAAGATATCCCAAGTTAGAAAGGACCCATGAGGATCATCACATTCAACTCCTGGTTCCACACAGGACCAACCGAAAAATAAAAATCATAAGAACAGCAGTTCCCCCAACGACCACTCCTAGCTGTCCTATAGTTAGTTTCCTAATCCAAATTCTCTGCAGCCATAATATTTCTTTTTTTCAAAGCTATCTTATAAAACCTTTTATTTAATCCAATAAAACCTTCAGTGCTGGAGGTGCGCATTTTCTTTGTTAATTTTTGAAGTCTTTTCACACTGTCCAAGATTTATGGCACTTCTTTGCCAGCCGTCACGCCAACGTGACCCGCCAGGCATACCACAGGATTTCAGAGGGACTTCCCTTGAGCAGCACTCACCAGGTCAGAGTTTAACACTGCTCATAGCTGCACTGAGTGACGTATTTATAACGAAGATGGCAGAGATGTGACCCACGTAATGTCACAGCAACACGCCTCGCTGATGCTTTGAGCATTGACTTCTCCCTTTTCTCTGCTTCTGAGAACTGAGGTCTTCCAAGAAAAAAAAAAAAAAAAAAAAGCTGTCTGATAGCAAGGAGAAGAGGAGGGAGTCATCAGACTCAGAGCAAGTACACAGCCTCACACCAGGGAAAGAGGGAGCAGCCTACGGAGAGTGGGCTCACCACATAATGCCCTCATCCCAGCCCATCACCTATACCACAGATCCTAAAGAGGAAAACAGCCTTCCAAGGGAGTGCACAGAATGGAATCAGTACAGCAGTATCAACACTGGAAAGACTTTCACCTGTAATTCACTGGTAGGAAAGCAGCATGAGAAGTCTTAAACAATTCTACTATTAATAAGGCTTAACAGGAAATGAAAGCACAAATTAGAAAGACTCAAGAACACAGAACTAGAATTACTGAGCCAGAACATTCAAAAATTAAAAAAAGAAGGGGTAACAAGGGCAAGCCCTACCACAAACAAGAAGGACAGTGTTTGGGGCAGCCTGGTCCAGCCCGGTGAGCACAGAGCAGCATGCGGACTCACAGCCCTTTTCAACACACAAGGCTGAAATGCCATGTGAGGCGAGGACCCAAGAGCAGCATCCGAGACCTGCCTTCAGCATCCAATACACCCGAGTCGTCTTTTCCCTCCATGTCGCATTTTCAGCAAATCCCCAGAGCTACTTCTAGGCATAAGATTACCTGTTTTATAAACAAATTACACTTATTTCCTGTAAGAATTTCCACACTTCCCAAATACAAAAGGCTACAGAAGACAGTGCATTACTGTACTCGTTCCAGCACAGACCTGATGCTGTGCAGTCACTGGCCAGTATGCATGCAGAGCAGGTCTTTGGCTGGTAGGTGGTAAAACAGCACCATGCTTAAGGCACAGACCTTTGAGAAGCCCAGGCTCTATGATTTACCCTGTTGTTCTGGCAGCAAACGTCTTTTATTACTGCTCATGCAACACTGGGCATATCTCCCTTTAAAACTGTTTCTGAGAAAGAGAGAAATGCAAACGTACCAGATGCAGCCCAAAAGCTTCTTAGCTTTTTCTGGGAGCGTCAGTTGGACTAATAAACTTTCCCTACACACATCCTGTTAAACAAGCATCTTTACCCCATCTGATGCCAAACATTTCTACCAAAGGATCATGAAGTTGCACACACTCAGAGCGAAGTCCAACCTGGCAACACTGTTATTTGTGAACAGACTGTTGCAATGCTTCTTTGGAACTCCAAGAGGTTTTTTTGCAGATGGTGAAGGTCCTAAACCAGAACAGAATAAGAAGAGTGAGAGCTTTTTGTCACTTGTGTGCCCACACACTGCTCTCATCTCCATTGCTCAGGCCTTGCTCCCACCTGTGCAGCTGTCACTGGGAGGGCAACTTGGAACCAGGCAAAGGATTACAGTAACACATTTCACCTGTTTGCTGCACCAAGGCTCTGCAGGTAGGGCGCTCATGCTGTGTAACAACTGTGCTCAGATTGTCAACCTGACAGCTAACCAGCAACAACTAGTACCTGCTGCAAGAAAACAGACATTTCACAGACCTGAAGCCACATGAACAAAACCTGAGGGCTGACAGCTTACAGAATGCTCTGAGGTGTGAAGGAAGGATCAGACACAGAGCACTGGTCTTAAGAGCAGCCCAAGCCCCGCCAGCAGCCCGCTCTGCCTGTTCAGGGTCTCCTCAGGACAGACTGCTGCTGCAGAACCACAGGATGCGGCTGCACCTTGTGTGCCCTTACCACATTCAATCATAAATCACACCATCCACGGTTTTCAGCCAGTGATATGCTCTGACCACTATAAGCCCTGTTTCCTTAATCTACACCTCTGTTCCCGACTACTGTAACAAGAGAATAAGAACGCCTCTATTTGTGAGAGCATACACCAGAAAAACACCAGCTTCTTTTACCCTATGGTCAGCTGGCGCAAAGAGCCAGTAGCTAAGCACCCACTTGAGGGCCACACAAACTAGTTTTGACACCTTTGGGCGCATCGGCAAACCCCGCGCACCTGGCGAGCCCTGGGGCACAGCGGAAAGAAGACGGGGAGGCTGAGAACAGCCGGCCCGCGACACGGCAGCGGTGCCCGTGCAGCTCCGGGCACCGACCGACACGCGGCACGGGCAGGGACCGGCCGGGCCACTCACTGTGCGGATCGCTCTTCTCGCGGACGCCGTCCACCCTGCCGTCGGGGTTGATGCGCAGGAAGAAGCCGCCGTTCTTGCAGTAGAGCCGCTTGGGGTCCTTGAAGTGCCCGGGGGGAAAGGCGCCGCCACCCCCGTCGTCGGGCAGCGCCGGCAGCGTGGTGATGCTCCCCGCCGCCCCCGCCGCCATGCGCCGGGCCCCGGTGGCTCCCCGCCGCCCCGGGCCCCCGCCGGCCGCCGCCGCCAGCCCCGGGCGGGCTCGCCCCCTGCCGCGGCCGTCCAGCCTCGCCTCGGCC